GAGAGTTCATTTCACATGAATCAGAGGAGGAGGACCATGATCCCTTCAAGTTAGTTGATGTGGGTCTTGAGATTGGAACCTTGGTTAGTCCAGGTGAGTTTATTGTTGGTTGGAGAGGACCTTCCTCTGGGATTGAATTTCTAGTGGATCCTTTTGACAGGACATGCAAGTTTTGTTTCTCAAGAGATATGGCTTTCTCTTTCAGAGGCAGTGTAGAGCATGCAGTGATAAAATGTAATTTTAAGATGGAGTTCTTGGTGAGAGAAATTACTGAGATTTCTAACTATAAAGATTCATCAGGTTTTGTAATTATGTTGCAGCTGGCTTCACCACCCTGGCTTTGGTATAGAACTGCTGATGATGATGTATATGAAACAGTTGCTTTTGATGTTTTGGATGATGATGATCCTTGGATAAGAACCACTGATTTTACTCCTAGTGGAGCTTTCGGTCGATGTAATTCCTACAGGGTTTCTATTTCTCCCCGCTATGAGGGAAAATTGAAAAATATCTGGGAATATCTTCAGAATCAGAGGGTGCGTGTTCACAGCCTTAAGTGGCCACCGAGTGTCAGGGATGAACTTGATTTTGGGATTCCCATGTCAGACATATTCTCTTCTATCCATTACAGAAAAGGTATTGAATTTGAGATACTTTTTTTAGTGAATGCGGTAATGCACAAAGGCATCTTTAACCAGTATAGGATGACTGGAAGTTTCTTTGATCTACTAAGAAGCCAACCCAAGGAGGTAAATTTGGCTGCACTGAAGCACATCTGGTCCTCTAAATGCCCAGTGTTTGACGCCTACAAGAGGTTGAAACTTGTCCAAGAATGGATTTTGAAGAATCCCAAGGTACTTCAGAGACCCAAGCAGATGATCGATATTGTTGAGATCAGACGGCTGGTGATTACTCCCACAAAAGCATATTGTCTGCCACCGGAAGTTGAACTTTCCAATAGGGTTCTTAGAAGATATAATGATGTGTCTGATAGATTTTTAAGGGTCACCTTTATGGATGAAGGTATGCAGACGATTAATTTGAATGTTCTGAACTATTATGTTGCCTCCATAGTGAAGGACCTAACATCAAATTCTGCCCCCCAAAAAACGACGGTGTTCAAAAGAGTGAAGACTATTCTGACTAATGGGTTTAATTTGTGTGGGCGAAAATATTCTTTTCTAGCCTTTTCATCCAACCAATTGAGGGACCGTTCTGCTTGGTTCTTTGCTGAAGACAAGAACATATCCGTCCATAATATCACAAATTGGATGGGGAAGTTCACTGACCGAAACGTTGCCAAGTGTGCTGCAAGGATGGGCCAGTGCTTCTCATCTACCTATGCTACAATAGAAGTTCCATCACTAGAGGTCAATTTTGAGCTTAAAGAAATCAAGAGAAATGGATATGTCTTCTCTGATGGTATTGGTACTATTTCACATGATCTTACAATGGAAGTTGTGGAGAAACTCAAATTGGACATGAACAACCCACCCTCAGCTTTTCAGATTAGATACGCTGGCTGCAAAGGGGTTGTGGCTTGTTGGCCATCAAAAGGTGATGGAATCAGACTGTCACTGAGGCCCAGCATGAACAAATTCACGTCTAACCATGCTATCTTGGAGATTTGTTCTTGGACAAGATTTCAGCCTGGTTTCCTGAACAGGCAGATTGTTACCTTACTTTCAGCGCTAAATGTTCCAGATGAAGTGTTTTGGGACATGATGGAGTCTATGATTTTCAAATTACACAAGATGGTTGAGGACCCAGATGTTGCATTTGAGGTTCTCCTTGCATCATGTTCTGAACAAGGGAATAGTGCGGCCATAATGTTGAGTGCAGGTTTTAATCCTCTAACAGAACCTCATCTGAGAGGCATGTTGGCTTCAATAAGAGCAGCACAGCTTTGGGGCCTCCGGGAGAAGGCAAGGATTTTTGTTCCTTCTGGAAGGTGGTTGATGGGCTGCTTGGATGAACTGGCAGTACTAGAACAAGGCCAGTGTTTCATCCAGGTCTCCAGTCCATCACTACAAAATTGCTTTTCGAAACATGGTTCTAGGTTTTCTGAGATCCAAAGAAATCTAGAAGTGGTAAAAGGATTTGTGGTGATAGCGAAGAATCCTTGTCTTCATCCAGGGGATATAAGAATTCTCGAAGCTGTTGATGCCCCTGATCTACATCATTTGTGTGATTGCCTTGTTTTCCCCCAGAAAGGTGATAGGCCCCACACAAATGAAGCTTCTGGGAGCGACCTTGATGGGGATCTTTATTTTGTCACCTGGGATGAAAATCTTGTTCCACCCAGCAAAAGAAGCTGGACTCCTATGGATTATGAACCTGCAGATACCAAAACTTTGACACACCCTGTCAGCCATTCGGTATTTCTTTGTCCTGTCTGAATTTTATCTCTAAACACTGATATGGATTGTGCTTTCGATAGCCTATTTGATGTTCAACTACTCCATATTTTCTTTCTTTGTGCACATTCTATCATATCCTTTTTTCTAAAAACAGTCATCCTGTTGTTATTACAATGAAGTGCTACTTCAAGTATGGATAGTAAATATTTTAGAAAATGCAGCAATTGCTCATAAGCACTTATGATGTTGATAGCATATTTTCGCTATTTTAGTGGCTTTCATTGTGTAATTTCTTGTGCCATTGGGAAAGTCGTGATTTCTCTTGACCTTTCAATTGCTTAGACATTATAACCAGACTTGGTAATCCAAGTAGTTCATGAGGAAAATCTGAATTGAAATGCAGCTGTAACAAACTTTCGTGTTGTTAAATGTTTTGGAGAATGATACTAAACTTGGTGATGATCCTAAAATGTGTGGGAATTGACTTTACTAATGACAATAATAGTCCCAAATAAAAAGGAATAGGGACCTGTTTTAAGCTTTAAAAAAGAGGGAAAAGAATGTTGGCACATTTATGTTTTGCATTATGTTCTCAATTCTTTTCTGTTGTGTTTCTTTTGCAGGACATAATAGGATTTTTTGCCAAGAACATGGTACATGAAAACTTGGGAGCAATTTGCAATGCCCATGTGGTTCATGCTGACAGGAGTGAGTATGGAGCTTTGGACGAGAACTGCATACTCTTGGCAGAATTGGCAGCTATAGCTGTCGATTTTCCCAAGACTGGGAAACTTGTGACAATGCCTTCTCATTTAAAACCAAAAATCTACCCAGATTTTATGGGAAAAGAGGATTATCGATCATATAAATCAAATAAAATTCTGGGAAGGTTGTATCGACGCATAAAAGATGTCTATAATGATGATACTTCCAATGCAGATTTTGTTACCGGAGATATCCCTTATGATACTGATTTGGATAAACCCGGATCTGCCGGTTTTCTTCTTGATGCCTGGGCCCAGAAGTGTTTATACGATTGGCAGCTTACCAGTCTTCTTGGGCAGTATAAAGTGAAAAGGGAAGAAGAGATTGTAACAGGCCATGTTTGGTCTATGCCTAGATACACCAGTAGGAAGGAAGGGGAGCTGAAGGAGAGGCTGAAACATTCTTACAGTGTCTTGAAGAAAGAATTCCGACAGATTTTTGAGAACATGCACCCAGAATTTGAGCAACTCACTGAGGATGAGAAGAATATTCTGTATGAACAGAAGGCATCAGCTTGGTACCAGGTTTGTTACCACCCCAAGTGGGTGGATAAATCTCGGGAATTGCAAGAGCCTGTTTGTGCTGAAAATCCCTTAATGTTGAGTTTTGCATGGATTGCGGTTGATTACCTTGCTCGAATCAAGATCAAATCTCGTCAAATGGGAGATATTGATTCTACCAAGCCAGTCAACTCTCTAGCAAGGTATCTTGCTGATAGAATATGACAAGGACTTGAAGTCATTACCCACAACCTTTAGGCTGCAAGACCACTCTGCCTTTATAGAAGAATAAGCTTCCAAGCATTTTATTAACATGGTATTTTCCGGATTTTTCTTATCATAATTATAAATGAAAATTGGAGCTTTAATACAGTCTACAAACTTTATCAAGTTTCCTGCATTTCCTACGGTCATTTATATAGTTTAGGTTGGTTTGATTGAGGACTACAGTGGTGGACTTGTTAGGATTTATGAAAATCCATCTTGTTTGGCCTGATTTATCATAGTAACAGTATATGATTCTGGATATATAGCAAGGATTAGCTATATCTAACTCTTACCATTTTCCAGCTTTCAATTTTATGAAGAATTATTATGAACTATAGGATTACATATTACTTAATATACTTCATAAATATAATTTATATATTAAATTTTCATTTTTCTGAATAATGTATCTGCTAACCTATTTATACCAGGAAAGAAAACAAAGGTCATAATTCTAGATCTTAATGAATAAGAACTTTTATTAGTTGAATTATAGTCCTTATATCACTTTCTATAAAATATTTGATTCGATTTTTGGGTTATATTTTTTTATGTATTCTCATTTAAAAGATTGTATTATTATTGACAGTGTATGTATCACTTACCTGACAAAATTAGTATATTTATTTTTAAGATGATATGTAAAGATTCAGAACTTGAATAGAAATAAATTTATAAACTAAATGTGAAAGCGATTATTAGAGTTAGAGTTTACATTCCTTACACAATAATTTTGAATGTTCAATAGGGATACGTGAATGTTCATTTTAAAAAACAAACAGTAATTAAAAAAATAAAACAAAAAGCGAATAACTAAGCATCTTAGAACAATTTTTACTAGCACCTGAAGGGAGTTCGGATAGTGAACTATTTACAATCCTCTTGTTAATCGGGATCTGAATCTTGGTTCTCTTTGATCTGAAATAGTTAATGAATGGATGAACTACACTATCTTAGTAAGAATATCACACTAATCACAAATACGAAAAACTGAAGATTGG